CGTTAACAACATATGCATACAGGCAACAGTATAAGGAAAATCACAAAAATGGTCCCACCATTGGTGCTTGCTCAAGAGGAGGATGATAGGCGTGGGATGAATTCTCGCGCACGGCACGTCTCACTAGAACCACCTGTGCGGCAAGAATAAGCTTCTTTGGCCTAAATCAGTCAAATTTGTGAAAAATAAGTGAAGAACCCCTTTGAGCGGTTGAACTTACAATTCAAACTCGCTGATTTTAATTTGGATGGTGTTGGCACCATTCACGGGGCATATGAAGAACATCATGTGATCACCTCGCTCAGTGAAACTGGTTGGCTCTAGAGGTTTATTGTTATGCTGAGGAGCTTGCGCAAGCCGTAATCCTCCCCAACATCTTACTTGCATCTGAAGATGGACAAGAACTATATAAACTAGTTTGTAAAGAAATATATCAACCACTTACAACTCCTCCTTCCGGTCTTATACTGCAGACGTGCAAGAAAAGGATGTGCCCATATTGACCTCCATTATCGGGAAAAGGGACTGGATTGTGATGATACTATAAATGCAGGATTCCAAAAATCTTTAGGTTTAGGTCAAAAAGTTTGCAGTTTTATGGTTTGTTGTCACCAAACTCACATTGAACACAAATTCGGGGCCATCTGCAAACGGAGCGGTGAAACAAGGTGATGCCGAGCGAACTTCCGTCAGTAGTCTGAAAACATCGTAAGAACTGTAATTCTCACAAAGGGAAGCCGAAGTGACATAAAAACTTTTTTCAGCGCCCAAATCTAACCATGCACGAAACAAAATGATTGAAAAATCCCCTTCAACAGAACCGCATCAATGCCTTCTCACTTGCGTTACCTTCAATAGCGGTCAATAGAAACTGAGAGAGAGACAGAGGGGGAAAAAATCTCAGGTTACAGTAAAAATGGAGATCTTGAAACAAAGAAAGGAACAGACGGAAAATCACAAAAAAAATTTTTCAATGCAAACAAGATTTGGGAAGTTGTGATAAACAAAATATTTCTCATCCCAACCTGTACACCTTCCTACGTGCTCGTACTAGCTGTGAGGAAAAAATTCGTGAATGTTTCGTCAAAACATCAAATGCACGTCGCTTCCTCAGATTCTCAGGTTTCCTACAAACACCAAAAACAGTTATAAGCGAGACCAGCAAAG